GGCAGGAGGTGTGCTGTGAGTTCAAGGCCAGCCTGGGCTACACGCTAAAACACGGTCTCAGTAAACAAACAAACAAGCAAATAACCCAAGTTTACACTGTAGCAAATTACCAATAAATTAAGTCCACAATTAGTAGAGAGAAGGAAATTTAAAGATTAGAGTAGAAATAAACACAAAGAGAAGAGAAAAAAGTTAGTTTGGTATGCCGGGCAGTGGTGGTGCATGCTTTTAACCCCAGCTCTCAGAAGGCGGAGGCAGATGGAGGCCAGCCTGGGCCAGCCTGGTCTACAGAGTGAGTACCAGGAAAGCCAAGGCTACACAGAGAAAACTGTCTTGAAAAACCGAAAGAAAAAAAAAGTTGCTCACATATGTCAATCAATCTTCAGCAAATTCACCAAAACCACAATGGGGAGAGGATAGTCTTGTCTACAAACGTGTTCTTTTAAAAACTGTATGTCTGCATACCTTGATCTTAACCACAAACAAAATTAACTCGAAATGGACCGAAGACTTAAACATGAAATCCAGGTGAGACTTGCAGAGGAGAACACAGGGGGAAGGCGTCTCAGATTGATTGCGACAAGGATGTTTTGGAAATGGCACCAAACCTGCAGGCAATAAGAGCAAACCAGGCAAGCGGGATTGCACCAAAATAAAAAGCCCCAAACGCAGTGGATGGCAGACGCATCGGCAGAATGAAAAGCAGACTACAGAATGAGAAGATAGATATGAATGACAGACATATCTGACAAGGTGCGTCCTGGCTCATTCTGACTGTCAACTTGACACAAGTTAAAGCCGCCTGGGAAGAAGGAATCTCAAAGAAAGAATTGCTTCAGACAAATTGGCCTGTGGCCATGTCTGTAAGAGACCATCTGGATTTATGGTTGATGTGGGAGGGCCCAGCCCATGGTGGCTGCCGCCATAGCTAGGTGCTCCTGGGTTGTACAAACCAGCTAGCTGGGTGTGAGCTGGGGAGTGAGTCAGCAAGCAGCGACCCTCCGTGGTTTCTGCTTCAGTTCCTGCCTTGAGTTCCTTCAATATCAATCCATAACCTACACATTGAAATAAACCCTATCCTCCCCTTGAAGGACCCCAACTCGTCTTAACCACAGTTATGCCGTTCTGCAAAGGTTTTCAGATAGCAAGCTTAACTAAGGACCTCTGGAGCCCAAGACCTCCGGAGTGCTGAGCAAATAACAGGCTTAATTAAAGGCCTCCGCTGAGCAAAGATACCTGAGGTTAGAGCAAGGACAGCCTTATCAGGCTGCAAGACAGGGAATTTATGAACTGGCCATAGAAACAAAGAAAGAAAGGATTGCGAGGCCTGAGTCACATATAAAGCGGGGCTCTCACGAGTCAGGGGCCGTACAATCAGACATCTGGTCGCCAGCCAGGAGAGGGGGAGGCAGGATAAGAGGAACAATAAACCGTTGAGTATTCCCCTCATTGTTATCCAGGTTAAAAATTTATCACCCTGCATCTCGCTTCTGTAAACCTTGCTTTTTGCTCTCCTATAAAAACCTCTCACCCCCAACCGGTGGCGCGCAAGTCCTTCGAGAGACTTGGTCGCCCGGGTACCCGTGTATTCCCAATAAACCTCTTGCTGCTTGCATCCGGCTGCGTGCTTTCGACTGATCTTTGGGCATGGGGGTCTCTTCCGAGGGAAGACGCCCAGCGGGAGTCTTTCACCCTGAGGCAGTTAATATTGCTAATTTGGCACCAACTGGAGACACCTGGGAAAAAGGAACCTCGATTGAAGGCTTGTCTTTGTCAAATTGGCTTGTGGGCACATCTATGGGGCATTTTCTTGATTGCTAACTGATAGGCTAAGGCCTGCCCACGGTGGGCAGTGTCACCCCCAGCCAGGTGGTTCTGAATTGTGTAAGAGAAGTATCTGAACGTGAGCCCGGCAGCAGTTCAGTAGACTGATTGCTCCATGAGTTCTGTTTTAGTTTCTGCCTCTCTGCTCCTGCCTTAGCTTCCCTTGGTAATAGATTGTGACCTGGGAGTTTTAAGATGAAATCAACCCTGTCTTTCCTAAGCAGCTTTCGGTCAGTGTTTAATCACAGCAACGGAACCCAAACTAACACACCCCTCAAGTTGTTTTTGGTCCAAGTGCTTAATCACAACCACAGAAAGCAAACCAGGGCACAGTCTTAACATCTACAATACATAAGGGACCCCTTCAATTCAACAACGGGAAGAAAACCTGGTTTTTAAATGAGCAAAGAACCTGCATAGACTTTTCTACAGGGAAGATACATAGACGGCCAGAGTGCACACGAAAAGATGCTAACATCACCAACCGTCGGGAAAGAACAAACTGAAAATGCAGAGATGTAGCACCTCGCATCGGCTAGGATGGCCATTCCTTAAAAGCAAACACAAACAGAACTAGAAAATAACCGGGGGTGGAGATAATACAAAGAATTAAATTGTAAGAACAGAGAAACAAGAAGTCTGCCGTGAGGTTGTGTCTCCTAGAATGACAGGAAAGCCATTCATGATAGCACATACGGCTATCAAAACAGGACCTGAAGAAGTGTACCAGCTGACATGGAGATGCTAACATGGAAGGAGACCTCTCATGGGGGCCCCATCCATAGGCAGAGAACTGTAATCACCTAATGACTGGCTGCCAAAAGAGGGAGAATCGGTCTGTCTCAGGGATGAGCCCCCTAACTGGTTATGCAATACCAACAGGTCAGATGTGAAACCATAGACACACAAGCAACATGAAGCTAAGTACATATATTTCTGTACATATATATATGTAAACAATAATAATCAGAGAAACGAGACCATGAAGCTGAGACAGGGTGAGGGGAAGATGGCAGGGGCTGGAAGGAAAGCACTGGGTGGGAGGAAAGGGAAGGTGGCAAATGACATAAATACATTTTAATTGACTCTTTAATGGAAAAAATGGAAAAAAGAAGTTAAAACAGTCAGGGCTATGCAGAGAGACCTTGTCTCCAAAAAAAAAAACCTTTAAATAAAACTACCATAAGACTCATTAATCCCACTTAAGAGTATTTATCTGAGAGAACAGACAACGCTCCCAACATATATCCATATTCCTGAGTTCGTTGCAAAATAGCTCATAATAGCGTCCCCCCAATGAAAACAACCTAAGTGCTCACTGATGGACAGATAGATAAAGAAATCAGTACCCCCCCAAAAGCAGAATATTAGTCTTGAAAAGAGAGAAACTTGTGGGATGCTTCAACATGGATGAACCTTGAGAACATCGTGCTGAAGGAAATGAACCAGTCATAGGACAAAGTCTACAGGATCCAGTTTGTCTGAGGTATGAAAGTGGTCAAAACAGAAGGCAGAGCAGGGCCTGCCAAAGGCCGAGCAAAGGAAGCAGGACATTGCTGGCTCAGGCAAGATGCAAACGTTCTACAGATCCCCGTGCAGCAAGGCACATGGCATCAACAGTACAGTGCTGAACTCTGACACATAGATGAAAAACCTGATGCTGTGGCTTTCACCAGAGGGGGCTGGGATGGGAAGCCAACACCCTGAAGTGGCATTTCACAAAGGACTTTATCCTGGTCCCTAAACAGAAACATGACCTGTTTCATTGGGGTGATCTTAACTGTCAACCTGACTGGATTTAGAACAGCCTAGAATGGTGAGGCCTGGCTCTGGGTGTGCCTGTGAAGGAACAAACAGGAAAAGGCTAACACGGGAGCACACTGGAATCCCCCTTCCTCTGCTTCCTGAAGCACCGCGACATGACCTTCTCTGTTCCTTATGCCCTTCCCACGGTGACAGACTGACCCCTATGAAATTAGGAACCAAGGAGGTATTGACATACCCTCCTTCAATTTGGGTATGTCGGGTAACTTAGTCATAGTGAAGGAAAAGCAGTGTGTGAATCTAGATGAATATACAGTCTCTAGCTTTTCAGACTAATCAAACAGGTCTGGACCCCGCAGGAATGCAAGAAATCTGAGGGAAATTATCTCCTCAAATTTGAGTGACAGGCCTGGTAGATCCCTGAAGGCCAAAGACAAAGCTGCTGTCATATATGCAACACTTGTCATGTCCTGGCTGTTGATTGCCTTACATCTGCTTTGAGTTTGGATCCTACTTTGGGCAATAAAATACAGGAATCCAAAAGCACGATGGGGATTATGGGAAAGATAATGGAGATAATAATAAAGACAGTGGGACAAGCCAGATTCCTACAGGGTTCTACGGTTGAACTTGCTCATAGGTTAGGCAGTTGCAGGTTAGGCAAAGAGGATGCATGCCTCCCACGCAGCTGGCCAGCTTAGGCATGAGGAAAGAGAAGGTAGGCTGATCCTGCAGTGAAAAGTTAACTAGGGGCTGAGACCACCATGTGCAGGTTGTCTCATGGGACTGATACATTAGTTCTGCATCCTTTTCTGAGATTGGAACAGATTTCCTTTTCCCTCTGAGCAAACAGAGCAAGAGTCGGTACTTGTCATAAGCACTCCCTGGACACTTAGAGACAGTCTGCTTGACATCCCAAACCTGGCGAGGGAGATGTAACTGTCCCCATTTTGCAGTTAAGACACAAAGACAGAAAGTGTCCGGTGACACGCCACTCTCCCACCATCAGGACCTGAGGAGCAAAATCTGGATTGTTCTTACTCCGGAAGGCACATCTGAGTAGGAGGGGCTTTTGGTTTCTTTTACCTGTTTGATCTTGAGAGGGTCTCAAGCAGTCGAGGCTGGTCTCAAATTTGCCTTCTAGTTAAGTATGACCTTCAACTCCTCATTCTCCCACCTACACCTCCCAAGTGCTGGGATAACAGGCGCATTGCCATCACAGCTGACTGCAGAGGCTGGTATTTCAAAGACTTACCATCCTGCCTCTATAAAACTACGGGACACCTCTTCCCAGGAACGGGGCGTGAGAGGGAGCGCAAGTGGGAGGTTGGGGGGGAGAGCAGCAGCAGGCAACGGGAGGAGCAGTGAGCAGACACCAGATGTCTCCGGGAGATGCTGAAGACAACGTCAGTGTTCAGAAGCAGAGAAAAGGGCACAGAAAGGGAAAAAGAGCAGTCGCCAGGGAAAGAAACCAAGACCGATTCCGTGTAGAAGGGAGAGGCCAGCTGTGCCCACACTGGCAGGTGCTCCAACATCCGGGCATCCAGGAGGAGCAGCAGGATGGGGCAGAGGAGGTAAGGCAGCTGGGTACATGATGTAGTAAAAACGCAAATGCTATTTCAAGTTATTTTCTTTGGGGACTAGTTAGAGAAGGACTCTTGCATTTTAGGGATGCAAGTTATAGAGCATGTCCCCTAGTGAGACTAAGTCTAGATGTCATAAGACGAGGTAAGAAATAATTAATTTTAAGTTGTTTTGATGTCTATTAAGCTTTTTCCTTACTGGAATTAGATGTTTTAAAATGTGCTATTAGTCTTTGTTGCTAATGGCATGGCACCACGGACTGGGAGAATTAAGGACGATGTAGGTGTATTGTGCCTTATGGTTCTGGGACTCAAGGTGCAGTGACTGAACCTGTGATGTCCTCCGTGCTGGCACGGTCCTGGGGTGGCAGAGAGAAGTTAAACAGCTTGGAGGAAGTCTCACAGCTGTCGAGCGGAGGAGTGCGTTGAGCTGGAGTTGTGAACGCCCACCCTTTGGCTGCAGAACCCGTGCCAGTCTGCGGAAAACCAAGCCATCCGGCCCTGGCACGCCTGGACTCTGAGTCCGGTAGCGGCGGTGCGCACAGCTGACGGGAGTCTGGTCTTGCAGCAGACATCTCTTCTCCCCAGGGTGTAGAGCAATAAAGGCAGACCTGACAATCCTACAACAAGGAGAAGGGGCTCACGCTCCACCGCAGGGGGGCGCCCCTGGCCGGCCGCTGATAGGCGATCGGTCCCCGCCACAGGGCCCGTCGCCTGCGAGAAGATGTCGCTGTCCAGCGGGGAGCGCCCTGCGGGTCCAGGGACCCGCTTGTCCTGGCTGCTATGCTGCAGCGCCCTGCTGTCTCCGGTCGCCGGCTACGTGATCGTGAGCTCCGTGTCCTGGGCTGTCACCAACGAGGTAGACGAGGAGCTGGACAGCGCGTCCACTGAGGAGGCACTGCCCGCGCTGCTGGAGGACTCGGGCAGCATCTGGCAGCAGAGCTTCCCGGCCTCGGCGCACAAGGAGGACACGCACCTGCGGCCTCGGGGCTCCGCCCGCGCCAGGCCCGCACCGGTCCCGCGTGGAATGTTCTCCTACAGGCGGGAGAGCGGCTCATCCGCAGCATCCCCTGGACCCAGGGTGAGTGCCAGCACCGCCCGCTCCCTGGTCCACGCCAGTTCCTGGGGCTGTCTGGCCACCGCGTCCACCCAAGAAAAGGTAAGCCAGAGGTCGAGACGCGGGGGTGGTGCGTGTCTCGTCGTGGTCGGGCAATTCTGGGGCGAGCACCCAGGCACAGGAGACTAGGGTTTCACAGGTGCATAGCCTTGTGAATAGCGGAACCCGACCAGTGCAGGAGTCGGTTCATCTGCACGTGAGTGTGAGGAAAGCGACCCTGGGAAACAGTCTGGTGGTTAGTGACTTAATCCCTGTCTTAAAATGGCCAAAGAGGTGGTCAAATAATCAGTGTCACACAGAGACCTGGAAAGCAGACGGGATCGCCTTTGGAATCACAGATGAGGCGCATTCAGCCCCTGTGGGCTCTGAACACTGTCCCGCAGACAGACTCCCGCACCACCTCCCACACCAGAAAGGCGTGAAAGAAAGGCACCATCCACGCACTGATAGAAATTTACACTTTAAAAAAATGGAACTCGAATTTTTGAGAAAAACGACTTAGGCAAAGCTGAAGGGAGCTGTTTGAACAGCAATTTCTCTTTCAGGCCACAAAGGTTTATTCACCCGTAAGCCTGCTTCCTCCCAGAACAGCATGGAGATGTCCTGAAGCCGCATATTCCATCAGAATAGCCTCCAGAAAGCTTCCAGTCATGTCTAAGAGACAGAGATGTGATCCGAGCTACTGATTAATCTGTGCACGGAAGGATACAAGTCACACCGTGTGGGAGTCGAGTTCTTACCTCAACTCTGGGTCTCACTAGCCACAGCTTGGCCAAAGCACCCTGTTTTTCCATCTATAAAATTAAGTAATTCCAGAGAAACCTTGTCTCGAAAAAAAAATAATAACTAATTCGGTAGGCAGAGCTGAAAAGTTCTTCTCATTTTCTTAAAAAATATCTAATGCCAAGTTTATCCTAATAATGACAACGATCTTGTCCTCTTTCTATGTCAAAATCCCAGCCAGTTCTGTATTCCCAGTGTGCGAACAGTTTTTATACTTCTAACACATACCTTAATAAAATATGGGGCTTAAATATGAAGCTAATCATGGTTTAAAACAGAAAAACAAAAAACCTAGTGTCTAAAGTTTGGGAAATGTCTCAGCAATAGAACGCTTGAGGACTTAGTTATCCAACCTTTAGAATCCATGTTTTGTTGTTGTTATTGTTGTTGTTTGTTTGGGGTTTCTTTGTTTTGCTTTGCTTTGATTTCTTTTGTTTTTGTTTTGGGCCAAGCATGGTGTCTTGATTTGGAATCACAGTGCTAAGCAGGTTGAGACAGGTGGGTTTTTTTAAGGACTTGCTGGCAAGCTAGTCTATCCTAGTTGGAGAGTTCCAGGCCACCAAGGGACCCTATCTAAAAATCATAACAGTAAGAGACCCTAAAGAATGACACCAGAAAGTCAGAAAGTTGTCCCCTGACCTTCTATACACACTATGCACAAGCACCACGTGCATGGGCACACTAGAATGCATGGATACACACACACACACATACACACACACACACACACATACACACACACACACACACACACACACACACAAAAGAAATCTGGTGCCCGTCCAGCTTGGTGGCCCACCCCTGTAGTCCCAGCATCATCTAGGCTAAGGCAAAAGAATTGTGAGTTCAAATCCAGCTCTGGCTACATACCCAGATCCTGCCTCACAAAAACATAAACAACCAAAGAAGAAAACGCATCTAGTGTCCTTGTATTGAAGATATTTTGATCTCCGACAGCTCTTCTGTTAGCGTCCGTAGGCCTTCCCCTTGCAATATTGACTTTCAATCCAAAGCTCGGTAAATTCAGAAAACATTTGCATGAACTGCTAAGCGGTTCATGATAGGCTGAAAATAGAATGTATGGATGATGTAATAGTGCCATTTGGAGAACTCGTTAATTTTTCATGTTTCTAAATGATTTGAACCCTTCCTTTCACAATCTTGCACGCTCTGTCTAGTGCTTGGACAACAATGGCAGCCTCACTAGGAGGGGGCTCTTTGTAAGGGACAAAGCAGGTGCAGGAGAGTTTGGGGGAACACTAAGACTTACATGCTGTTGCTTCTGTTTAAGTCACATGGACATGACATGAGACCCTCCCCCATCTACTAGATGAACACAGGCAGTGATCAGTATGTCGTACTTCTGTGACTTCCGTGTAGGCTAAAAGGGTATCCAACATATCAACTTCCCATAACTTGTTCAGTCATACCCAAAAGGTTATTGACCTCAACATAGCATACAACTAATAAACAAAGAAATATTACTCTAATTGAAACAGTATAGAGTATTCTTGGCATCCAAAGACCAAGCAGTTCATAAAATAAATTCTATCCCCAACGTTTAAAAAGAATGGAGGAGATGATGCAGGCAGAAGGCGTTGAAGAGGAGCTGTGGGAAAGGCCTGGCACTGTCTTTTTCTCCGTAGGCCTCATTGTCCTTACCCTTCAATAAAATGAGTACATCCTCTGTGAGAAGACAGCTTCCAGAATCCTTCAGCTCCCAGACAGAATGCTCTTACCTGCCTCTCCCAGCAGAGAAATTTTGAAACCATCGCTGGGTGAATTGCATCGATTGGGCCCACCTAGTCTTAATCTATCTGTCAAATCCACCGGTCCAAACAAGGTCCCAGGGCTGTATTTCCTACCCGGCAACACAAAGTTTTCCCCCAGTTTGTGTTCCCCATAGCTCTACCGCTAAAAAGCCTTTTTGTTGTTATTGTTGCATTTGTTAGATCCAAGGCCTGCCCTTTGGGAGCTGCCTGGCCATCAGCGATGGCCCCGTCCACAACAGCACGGGGACTCCGTTCTTCTACATGACAGCCAAGGACCCAGTGGTGGCTGACCTAGTGAAGAACCCCATTGCCTCGTTGATGTTGCCGGAATCTGAAGGAGACTTTTGCAGGTAGAAGGAGAGGGGGAAAAGGAGGGGCAGGGTTTGTTCTTACAGATTTGGGCAGAGGTGGAAGGTGGGCTGTTCTTTGTCACAGAGGGAAACCGACTCCTTTACTCACAGAATTGTACTGCAGACCAAGCAGTGTGATTGGGAACAAGCTATCTAACATTTCTTCATCTATAAAATGGGAGGGTCCCTGGACTTGGACTTTCACTGGGGTCACATGTCCTGTGAGCCTGTTATAGACTGAACATGTCAGTTGAAATATATGTGCTACACATAACCTATGGAACACCCCTGCTCAACCCACCACACCTTAACTTTCCTCAGAACGCTGACATTGACCTGCGGGCAGACAAAATCATCTAACGCAAAGCCTATTTTATAACAAAATCTTGACAATATACTTTGTTGACTACCATATTCGAAGGAAAAGCAGAGGCTTTTTTCTGTATCCACAGCCTAGGAAAAGAGCAAAATTTGTAATGTAGACTTTGCTGAATATATATCTCTTCGAAACCAACATAAAAATGAAAATTCATAAGCTGAGCCATAGAAAGTTAGTATTCATATCATTTTCATCCTAGAGAGTGTTTATGAGCCTTGGAAATAGATGCAGGGTATTTTCTGGGAGACAATTTTTTTTTTGGAGGCATGGTCCTGTGTGCCCATGCTGGCCTTGAACCTACTCTGTAGCCAAGGATGCATATGTCACACTTAGTTAATGCTGTCCTGGGGTTTGAACACAGAGTCTTATGGATGCTAGATGACCACTCTACCAGCTAAGCTACATCCCCAGGCCAAGGTGCCTCATCTGACATCCAGGTGAGCCATCAAAGATCTGGTCCCATAGAGGGAAGGATGGGTTGAGAGTTGAGAGGAGAGCCAGCAGTTTGTCTCTCTGGTGTGTACGGGCTGGAGCACATTGCTTTTCCAATTCATTTATAGCTCCTTTCTCCCCAAGAAATACATGTACTACAAAGCCAGCATCCTTTAATACACTTTCTCGAAAAAATCTCTAAAAGAAAAGCCTTCTAAAGACATTTAAGCAAAAATAGAGCTTCCATTCAGATATCATCGTCTAAATTCAAAATGCAAAGCCCCAAATCATTTGCTGCCAGGGAGACACTGGACTGAGTTCCTATGGAGGTCTCCTCCCCACCCCAAAAGATTAACAATTGTCACTGAGTGGCCTGGCGGGGGGGGGAGGGGAAGAATAACCCCTAGCATTTACCATTTCATCTGCAAATACAGAGGTGATTCAGAACGTGATTTAGAACGAAGCCCTATTCTCTACGCACAGCATAGAAAACAAGCACCCATCCTGTTTGTTCTTGTGGAAACCAGTTAGAACAACAATGGGATATCAAATGCAGCCCGCGAAAGGCCTTGACAACCCCACTCCCATCACCTATGCTCATCAATGAGAGACTCAAACTACAGGGCTTCCACTGTTCCCACCAGACTTTGGCAGCCAGAGAAGCAGTACTCCTTTGTCATGGAATAGTCTCCTTACTGTCAGTCAGCAAGTTCGCTGCTACTAGAGGTTTGTTCCCAGGAGAATTTCATGAGAATAGTGGCTCCCTAATTCCAGGGTCCCTAAAAGCAGTCATGCTGTAACATGTTGATCCCAGAACCCAGAGCATACCCACTCTTGAAGACAAGCCACAGAATTCAGTTCCAGGAGCAATGTGCAGTTGCACTTGACTGCACAAGATCTGCCTACCAGCATGCGTCAGGCAGGCAGGCGGGTGCAAGGACTGAAAACTGAAGCAATGAGGAGGCCATCTCCACAGAGGCTTGGGAGGGGCGTGTCTCCGAGAGCCTCAGTCCAGTCACTTACTTTTGCCTGCAACTTTCAGGGTGTGTGTGTGTGTATGTGTGTGTGTAATTCCTTTGAGCAAGGCCAGACAGAGAAATTACAAACATCTATGGAAGAAATGAGACAGCAGCTGACCAGAAGTGATGCTTCCAGGGTCAAGGGTACACCTGTATCCTTAACCTATGGATAGGGAAAAAAAAAAAAACCCACACCCACTGGTACCCTGTATCTGGAATCTTCTCAAGGAACTGCTTTCCAAAACTGCCAGTCCCTAGCAGCTAACTTAAAGTCATGAAGTACTGAAACATGATATAAATCAAACTCGCCTTAGAAAGGATCAGACTTCCAAGCAAGTGCTCTGGAGTGAGCCTGCACCTTCCGGTGAACGACTTGGCCCAGATGTGAGGTTCAGAGTTCAGCACTGCGTTTGACCTTACTCCTGAAACCTAGAATGTTAGTAACATTGAATACAAGGGCTGAATTAAGTCAAAGCCTGTGTTCAAAGACAGATGGAGGCCAGAACCCCCCTAAATTAGCAAGCCTGGAGCTTCTGGGGCCATCCGACCAGAGAGAGACATCCGGTAGAAGCAGCTACCAGAACTGCATTGCAGACAACCATGTTGGTAGAGTTTAGAAAGACCAGCAAGCCAACTCCTGCCTGTCCCCAGGGCCTGGAAATACCAACCGTGAGACCAGGGTTCATGGTCAAGTGCTTTACAGCAATTCCAAGATCTGGGGCAGGGGCTGAGAAACCTCCAGCTCTCCTGATAATGATGACAGTGAAGGCACTGGTCCAACCTTCTGCTAAAATCTTTCATGAAGAAAATTAACAGAACCCTCCCAGGCCCTGTGTGACCAGGCATTCGCTCCTACTCGGAGCAGATCGCTGTGCCTGCTGCTTCTCTTTGCCAGCTCTCTTAATATTTTATTTATACCCAGTTTTTATCAAATTAAAAGTCTGACCTGAAGGCTCGTTGTGATCAAAGCTCGTGTAAGTACTTTGGCAGGTAGCTAGGAAACACTTTCCACTTAGTAACCCCCACAGCAAGTCACTCAGAATGCTGTCTCAGTCCATCAGCTGCCTGTGTATTAAAAGGTCTGATCCAGGGACTGAAGGGATGGCTCGGCAATTAATAGTGCCTACTGCTCTTGCAGAAGGCCTGAGTTTGGTCCCAGCACCCATGCTGGGCAGTTCACAGCCGTCTGTTACTCCTGCTTCAGAAGATCCAACACCCTCTCCTGGCCTCCATGGGAACCTGTGTACATACGGCATATACTCACCCATACACATAAAAATAAATCTTTTTGTAGAGGTTGATTCCAAGTGGAAAGAGTGAAGGAAACTGAGGACTCGGGACTCCAGAATCTCACGGTTCCAGAGTCTCTGGAAATGGAACCATGGAGAAAATTCTGCTTGTGTAATTTCTTTGATCAAAGGAGAGAGAGGCTGGTATCTTGGTGAATGGAATGCAATACTCCTTCCTAAGAGGCAGATTTTAGACGACCAGAAAGCCCTGTCCTTGTTAGATTGATTGTTTTACTTACGTGTAGATGATGTGTGTGAGAGTGGGTGCACGTGTGTGTGTGTGTGTGTGTGTGTGTGTGTGTGTGTGTGTGTGTGTGTGTGTGCAGGTGCACAGGCCAGAAGAGGGTGACAGAGCCCTCAGAGCTAGAGTTGCAGGCCTTTGTGGGACGCCTGCTTATGACCTGGGTGCTGGCGTCCCAACCCCAGCCTGCTTGACCGTGAATTCATTCTTACTTTCAGAGCTCTCTCTCTGTCCCGGTAAGGGGTTTTTACGTGAATCTGTAAAACGAACCTGAATTGTGCCACTTTATCTTGTCTGAGGTTTTACCAAAACTTTTGATTGCATTCTATTGCTTAAAGTCATAGTAAAGTTTCTAAGATTAGTTGAGTGAAACTGTCCTGGCCAGGGCATATGGATTTGAGTGCCTTTGCCCTGTCCTTCAAAGGTGACAATGAGGGCTTGAGAGATGATTCAGTGGTTAAGAATATAGAATGCTCGTGCAGAGGACCTGGGATCAATTCTTAGTACCCACATGCAGCTTACAAGTGTGCACAACTCCAGATCTGGGCATGCATGTGACCTCTACTGGCCTCCCCAGGCATTGCATGTATGTGGTACACATACACACATGCAGGCAAAACACTCACACATCAAAATAAATAAACATATTTAAAGCAACTCAATACTAGAAAAGTACTAGATTAGTCATTTTGATGCATCTGTGTAGCCAAGAAAAGTTGCTGCTGGCATAGAGTCCAATATGCTGTCTATTCAGACTTTCCTTGGCATTTTGGAGGATGTGGGGGTTGAATCTGAGGGCTCTTTGGATCTGTGGTTGAATACACCTTGCAGCAGTGAATCCTGAATAAGAAGAGTCACCTAGGAAGTTCTGTGTTAAACAGTGGGACCGCCCACCTGTGACGTCTTCATCCATAGATGTAACCCACTACAGAAAAAAAAAAATGTGTCCATACTGAACATAACTGACATTTTCTAGCTGTGACTGCCCCCATCCCCGAACAGTGCAATATAGCAATTCTTTGGATAGTATTTGCATCAGGTCGATATTATAAGGAACCTAACATGATTTACGTTATGTGGAGGGTAGGATGATATGCAAATGTTATTACTACTAAAATACTTGTAGAGACCAGATGGCTTAGCAGATAGGGCTATCTGCAGCTAAGGTTGATGCCCTCAGGTTGATCCCTGGGGACCACATGGCATGGAGTGTGAACTGACTCCCCCAAGGTGTCCTCTTTCATCCACACATGTGATGTGGCATGCACATATATGTTCACATATTCACATGTGTGTTTATATGTGTGTTCACGTGTTTATGCACACACATGCTACAGAAATAAAGTATAATATAATACTTTTACTTTATAGAGGGCCTTAGGTGCTGTCTTAAAGTGTTTTTTTCTGTAAAGAGACACCACAACCACAGCAACTCTTAAAAAGGAAAACATTAAATTAGGGCTGGCTTACAGTTTCAGAGGTTTAGTCCATTATCTTCATGGCAGTGCACAGGCAGATACGGTGCTTGAGGAGGCACTGAGAGTTCTGCGTCTTGATCCACAAGAAGCAGAAGCAACTGTGTGCCACACTGGGTGTAGCTTGAGCATGGGAGGCCTCGAAGTTCACCGCCATAGAGACAT